ATCTAAGCCATTGATAAGGATATTGAAAAGAATATGACCAAGGACGGAGCTTTAATATAAACCACTATAAAGATCCCTCCAGCTTACCATTAATATAACAGTTAGCTTGATTCAGGTATATATTCTAGTGAGCTATTGATAGCAGACTACACTATTCATCCAAGCCAAGGGATTGTGTAACTAGGTGACTATATATAGTCAGGGAGTTCAGGGAAAACTCCTTAGACTGAAATCTCAAGAAGTGGCTCTGGTTCTTCATATTTCATGTAATTCATTGTTCAAACACAACAGGGCTCTGGTTTTAGGACTATACCTCCTCTGAATCATAAACCTGTATTTTTAAAGGGCAGGCAGGAGCTCCTGTAAATTACTTATGTGTGTTTCTCATAGCTTTGGTCCTGAGAGATTTGGGGTCAAAACAACAACAGGAGTTCCACAGTCAAACTTTTTCTAAAGATGCTACCTATTATGAAACTCTTAGTTATGTATGTCAGCATCATAAAGATTTGGAAAATCCCTCAGTGAAGAGGGACTTACTTGAATATGAAATATGTGTCCATGAGACACCATTTAATGTCCCAGGGAACTGCAGTTATAGAGTTTTCAGGAGCTTGGGAACAAGGTCTAACACCCACGGGAGAACCCCTCAACATCGGGAGGGGTTGGGATGCTGTCGTGACTAGGGGACTAAGTAACGTGGGACGAACAGGACGTCCGGGTCTACTGGTTCCATTCCTCCACACTCGGAGTCTCCGGCTGCTCAGGGGTCTTCCTCACTCGTTCGTAGCCCCTGAAGAGGACTGTAGAGTACAGGGGATGGTGACCATCAATTCCCCACAGAGAGCAGAGCAGCTGTAGCCAGTCCCGGCCTGAACTGGAATCTTCCTGAGTGGAGGTGTCTAGGTGGTTCTCCATGCCAAAGGACAAGTAGCTGTGAAGTACAATGTCTCTAAAAGGTGTGACTCATGCAACATGCTTCTCATTGCCATGGTGACTGTCAATCATTCTGTACAGTGTAGCCAATACAATGTTTTCTAGTCTATTTGCTGGAATGAAATGGAAGAAAGACGTCAATCTGATTTTGCGCATTTGCTGCCACTCTCTGCAAGTCCTTTTTCTATCAGTGTCAGAGACAAGAAGGAAAAAAATAGGCTGTGTGTCATTTGCTGGCTCTGTGGGAGGAGGAACCACTACAGAGAAGCCTGGGGGTGCAGAGTAATGAGGCTGATCTCTGCTTTAGGGAAGCCCAGCCTGACTTCCGCATCTTCATCCCCCTCTGCCTGTGGGCGCTGGGACTGTGCGACTGCGAGAACGTCAAGACATGATTTCAGTTTTCTAATTATCCAGGGCTTATATCAGCGAGCCAAACAACACGTTTCTGCCCCTGCCCCGTGCCCGGTGGCTGACCCTGCCTTAGCAACCACCCTTTTGCCAGCAGAAAATCAAATCCTCACATTTGCTCATCCATGGCTTCTCCCACACACCGAAGAGACCCAATGTGTTTAATCGCCAGAGATTCTTCTGTGATCCAGTGGACTACCACCCTGCAGACACTCCCACTGAGATCACAGTGTTCATTTCCTATCAGAATCTGTTGTGATTTTCATCCAGCTTGTCTCGGAGGTGAGGACTTTGAGGTTTTCCCCTTAGCTCAGATATTGGACCATATGCCGCTGACGGGATGGTTGTAGCAGCAGCAGGAATCACATTCCCAGATCCCTAAACAAATAGCTTTGTAGAAAGTTCTTCCAATCTCTAAATACATGCATAGTGCCACCCGTTCCACCTTCTCTGCCTACTGTTTCTCTGTTTTTCTTGGCAGGTGTTGCTGTTGGGTAAATATTCTTTTCATGGAGGTGCTTGTCTGTCTGGTCCCATGATAATTAGAGAAAATGGCAAGTTAATGAATTCAGGATTGTGTCTGGCAGAAGGTATGTTCCAGACCTACACGGCACATCTGGTGGCAGGTTAAAACACACCACCACAATGGAGTAAAACTGCAGCACTCAGAAACCTGCAGTTAAAGAAGAATTAAATAAATGTCCTAAATGTCATTGTCCCTAAAATCAAGAGCATGGGATGAAAGCAGAGGAAGGGGAACCAGAAAAGCACAACTTCAGAGCATTCATAATTGGACAATTCAAGCAATATTTAAAAGGCAGCAATGAGAAGTTTTCAAAATGAAATTCGTTCCGAAGTGCGCAGTGTTTTTAGCGTCTTGCCCTAGTGTTGACTGATGAAGGCAGCGGGAATGGCCTGCTGGTAGCAGACGGTCTTCCCTTCGCTGCCAGAGCTGCCCCGATGAGGCCCCAGTCAGTGTCTCAGTCGCCAACACCACGGCTTGGGCTTTAGAGAAAATGCAGGCTCATTTGCTGTTATTTCAGGTAGCTTTGCAGAACTAATATTTTCCATGTGTTCTAAAATTATTCCCTTAGCCACGGTCATAGTATCTGTTCATTTAATGAAGGGGTCAAGCAAGAACACGTATCTTGTTTGTACAGAAGCAGAATTTAATATGCACGAAGGTGGAGGACAGCCTTATGGAGATGAAAATGAAGACCTCTTTGGATATGATACTTGAGATTTTAAACCAAAGAAAAATGAAACTTTGAAATGGCATAGAAACTGAAGAAGGAACTAACTTCTTAAACAAAAGGCTATTGGTAATGGCACAGATACATTGAAGATTTGTATAAAATGATAAGCACTCTAAAAGGCTCCCAATAAAAGATCGTAACATCTACCAGGGTACTAAGTCAGGGCTCCATTTAGCAGAAAACCTCTCCTTGGGGAGAAAGGAAGCATTCTTTCTGAGCATTTGAGGACCTTAAGAGTGTGGCACCCTGGGCTTCTCAGAAAAAGCAAAAGCTTTGCTATCTACAGGAACTTGACAGGTCAACAGCACAGATGATCACGTCTAAAGATGTTGCTGGTTGAAAATGAGAACCATTTCCTTCTCTGTACGTCTAGAGAATGGTAGAAGGGTCTTTGTCTAGATGACTAACAAGTCTTTCTTTGCCAAAAGCAAAATGACAACAGTAACAGAAACTACAGATGCACAAATCCAATCCTCAGGAGCACCATTGACCTTGAGAAATCCATGTGTTTTCTGGCTACTGTATCATTCCTGACTTCTCAGCTTATGACCTGAACCTCATTCTGCACCAGATGTTAAATACAGTCACTTTGATAAACAAATAGTGGCTTAGTGAACAAACAATATCAGGGTGGAAATCAGTTATTAAGTTGAAGCACTCGGCTTTCTTGATGATTTAAAGGTAAGGAAACTGAAGACAACAATCAATTTCCAGAGGGAGAATATTAGGTATTTTGGTCTTGACAGTTAATTATTCAAGAAGTCTTATGACATCACCTGTTGGGAGCTTAGAGGGAATCCCTCTGTAGAAGACATGGAAGAACCCTCTTGAACCCTAATGGACTGAAGCTATCAGTTACTAGTCCAGAGGCCAAGACTCTTCTAAGCCTGCACTGAATAGGGTTCATGCTGAACATGTAACATGCAGGGATGGCACAGGAGGAGCATAAGTTCCTATACCGGGAGGGCAAGAAGGATGGGCTGGTCAGAGGTCTTTTTTCAAAGATGCCAGGGAGAAACTTGACCCCAAAGACAGAGAGGACCCACAGGGAAACCTCAGTACAGGGACAATAAACTACTGGTGAGATTAAAAGGAAAATTTTGAGAATATTAGAATATTTGTTCCTCTATTTTTCCAAGACTTTGAAAACTCTTATTTTTCCAAGGACTTGGACCATATATTCAGGGAGAAGGGCTCCTAACAGGTAGCACTGTATCGATAAAGCTGATAGAAACATTCAAGTTCAAGGTGATGTTGTTTATGTACTACACTAGTTATATATATGTATATATATGTACACAAAGGACTTTTTTTCCCTCTCTTTACTAAATGGGTCCTAGGAACACACTGGAAAGGATGATGCAAGAATAAATGGTTACCATTTAAGAAGCAACAGAAGATTTTAGGCTGCATTGCCTGCATCGAGATCACTTTATTCATTACTCCACTCTTCAAAATCCCCCAGTGGATTTCTCCCACACTCCAAATAAAGCTGAACTTCTTTGCCGAGGGGAACAAAATTCTGTGCATTGACCCTCTCCTTCCCTCACCAGGTCGGTCCCCTCCCGCCCTCTCCCTTCCGGCTCCAGCCGGCCAAATCCGCGCCGTCCCCTGGCCGCCGCACTGCCTTTCCTGCCCGGCCCGCTGTCTCCCTAGATCTTCGCCTCACTTCTTCTCTCATTTCATGCAGGTTTCTGCTCACACAGTACTTTTTAAGAGAGGCCCTTCCTGGGTGCTAGAACCTGTGAGGAAGAATGAGAGTTGGGCTGGGGTTCCCCGATTCTGGAGGGGGAGGCTGAATCAGAATCAGGCTCACTGGGACCGTATCCCCATTATATGCCAAGACTAGTGTGAGCAGGGAAACATGGTGATCCCGACGCAGCCTCAGGTTCAGACTGTAATACCTTTTCTCTTACAACACTGTTCAGCCACAGGGCTTGACTTGGAACTACTGCGGTTCTATGCAGAACTGAATGCTGGGAGGTACTCCACCAAAACTCTCACCGTTCAGATGTAACACATCAAAACATGGTAACCAGATCCTTCTGAAAATGAAGTTTCCAAGAAAGGCGATCCTCCCCACACCATTTAAGAACACCTATTAGTTTTGTGGACTCACCTTTGCACAAACCCTCCAAGACGTCAGAGTAGGGGTGCACCTCCTTGATGTTGTCGATGAAACAGTCGTCAACCCTGAAGACTGACTGCCTAGGGCAGAGCAAAATGGAAGCAACAATAAGTCATCTGACATCCAAAATTTGACAGGCAACCCATGCTTCAATCTCTTTTCTCTATGATACAAAGTAATAATAAAACTAACAGAAAACAGAACAGAGAATGAATGTTTTTGACTCCTTTATTCTTGAATATCATGAATGAATACTTACCATGAAAACACTGAGTATAGACGGGAGAGCATCTAATTATCAAATTTTAGTTTTACAAACCTGCTTTTCACTTTGGAATGTTTCTAAGCAAGGTTGTTTATCCAAAATAAATCACGCCGCAAAGAATTTCCTAAAGTTACGGCAGTGCTAACTCCTTCGGTACCAAGCATGACGAACTCACGTCGGGTAATAAGTCTTGGCAGTATGCAAGTGGAAGAGATGGAAAGAGATGCTATCACAGTTTATAAACAAAAAAGGGGAATGGCTCACGTCACATGAATCTGTTCACACTTGAGAGTGCCAAGGTATTTTTTTAGGTTACAATGCCGATCTTTATGATGATAAGGAATAGAGACAAACTGCCTTGCTTTTCATTCATCAGCACAAATGAGGTGGGGTTTCTGCATGTGCAGGTGTGCTTGGCAGGAGTGCACACATGCCTGAGATTCTTGCTCATGCAGGTCAGGTGTGTAAGAGGGGAAATATTCTGGACGATGTTTTCCAAATTTATAGAACACAGTCCCAGGAGAAGGCCTCCACCGCCATAATGTAACCATTCCAAGATATAAGCCATGTGATGGGATGGGCCCCAGAACTGGATCAAAGTAAAGTTAGGTGGTTCACCCAGAACTACAGTTTTTAATTGAGAAGGAACTCAAGTCCTTGGGTTTGTCTCAGATCTCTCTTCTGGAACCTTCACCTAGGCAATGCTGATTCATTATAATAGTATTGGTCCTGAAATATTCTCCTTTAAAAGACACATAACTTAAAGAAATGGCTGATTCTGGAATTAAAACAGGGAAAAGGTAAGATGGATCTGGAGCATCTTGCAATGTAAGTAAGCAAGGAGGTGCTCAAAAAACAAAAGGGAAGTTTAGTATTGGGTCATATATATTCTTAATAAACAGCCTAAGTGATGCCAAGGTCATCAATTCTGAACCATGTTTTGAAAACACTGACCTAGAACCATCACCCCCTGCCTTTTAATAAATAGATGAGGAACGTGAAATAGCGTAGGCTTCCGAGTTAAAGTCGGGTTGGTGGCACTAGCAGCAGGTTCTAAGGTAAATGTGCCCGTAAGTGAGCTGAGATGCATTATTTATGGACCATTTACACATACATGCATTCTCCTTCTAGCTTACCTTCCAGTTTGCACTTGACTGTCTTTCATTGCTTCTCCTTTTCTGTTCTTTTTATCCTTTCTGGGTCATATCTTTTAAAAAGTGTGTTTGCAGTTGTGAGTCTGTGGTCCATCTACCACGTTTAGCCGGTCTTAGCTTCTCCTTGTCTCCCAAGGCCTAGAACACAACAGATTTTCATAAATATTAGCTGAATGGGTGACTTAGAATCAGAGATGTTTGCAAGTGAAACAACAGGAGAGAACATTTGATTCTTTGAAACTTTTGTTAACTGAGAAACACCAATTCTTCCTCAACTACAGTAAATTCTTCTATTAAACGAGATGAATTGTGCACCTGCCACTTTCCTCACACAATGTCTCCGATTCAGAATTTCAGTCATTTTCCCCGATGCCAGCCGTGGTTAGACGGAGGGCTCCTCATGGTTGCATTCACAGCTTGACTCTGCTTTTGGCCTGGCACGGAGTCAGCTCCTAAAAATCTCCAGATAAGTCTTCCCTTCGATAAAAGTGAATCTGGTCTAAAGTGATCTTAATTAAGGTCTAGTTCAATAGCTTGATGACAAGGTAGGAAAATCAGCAACGAGAAGGAGTGGCGAGTGCCCCAGGCAGACCCATGGCTCCTTGCTCTAGGCAGGCCTTTTCAAACTGGCATTTTAAAATTTCAGTTCACTTCTGTTGGAAGAGAGGAATAATCATGTATCAAAGGGGTGGGCTAAGAGGGTCCGGGTGGCAGGGCCTCTCTGGCCCCAGACTTGCATATCCCACTTGATAAAAAGAGAGGCTCTGCATAAGTAAAGCTTCACAGTGAACCAGAACCCTCTGCAAATTGTTTCAGGCTCAGTATTGCATAAATCCATCAAAAGGTTTTATTACCTGTTACCTGTCATTCTTTTTTTAACCTGCCATTCCTGGTTACTGCTCTGCCTAAAATCGTCTTATGTCTTATTTGATCCTTGCTTCCGATAGTATTGATCAGTTTAGGCCTTCCTGGGTCTAAATTGCAATGAAACTCTCTAGAAAGCAGAAATACTGTACTTGCTATTACTGTAACGTCCAACAGTAATATCTGTTCTCTATTTTTTTTCATTTAATTTAATCACTTTCAATATTTTACCTTTTTTAAAAAAAAATATTACAATAGTGGAGCTAGAATGGACTTGAGAGGCAGACACACTGGATTGAAGGTGTGAATCTACCACTTGTCCTGGCTTTGGGACTTTGATGGAGCTACTTCTCCCTAAGCTCTCCGGGGGATTCTAGCACAGCCAGTGTCAGAACTACGAGAGCTCAGTGCACGGTAGTGATCATCGTTCTAGGGTGACAATGAATAACTTCTTCTTAGGAAACTTAGAAAATGCTAGCAGTTCTTCAGCCACCACAGAGAAGATGAAAATCTATGGACTGTAAAAATAATCGTTGCATTCTCACCTGCCCTCACGATCAGCCACGCCGGAAGAGAGTCATCCACCTTTTTCCATCTTTCCTCTGCAACTTTGGATGCCCTGAACATGGTTTTATAGGTTCTGTGGAGAGAGGAGAGACCAGTGTTCCTAATATCAGCAAGACTAAAAAGAAACATATTTTTGTTTACAGTAGTTATTACTCAGAGATACTCTACCATGGTGGCATACAAAATTTGTTGTAAAATTAAGGGGAAAAGCCCCTTAAAATGAGTCAAAAATAATTATTACATATACATTTACAGATACAGCATGCAGAAATTTTTAAATGTTTCATGTTTACTTCTTTATAAAACTTCATATGGGAAATGAATTTAAAAATCTTTAATATACTTTAGTGTACTAAAGAAAGTTATAAGCTATTTTGAGATGAATGTAAGTTCTAAAGTTTTCTATCATGTTTTTTGGAAGAATCTGCACAATCGTGGCTTTTTCTTTCAGTCTAGAAAAATACAGAAATCTCATAGCAGTTTGTTACTAGTATTGGGGGATCCATAATTAAGTTATTCCATACTTAAAAGGTAACCTGAGACAGTAAGTCAGAACAAACATTTTCACATGCTAACAAAACCAGAGTAGGGGTAAGGCCCGAAGGGATGAATAAAGGTCTGATTTCTTCTGTAGCTTGTCCAGAGGTCTGACTACAAGGAGAATTCATATACAGTACTATGTTGAAGGTAAATACATTATTATTTTTATTATTGCCAGTAAAAATAAATTTATTCTTTGTACCAGAGAGACTATATAAGCAACCAAAAACAACCACTTAAAAGAATTACTGCAATGTTTGGAAAGGTGCAAAAGAAAATTTGCAATGAGATACTTGTTTTAGAACACATTCACATCAAAGACACAGGGTATGTATTTGTGGGTTTTTCCATAAGATGCAACTACCATGTAGTACTAAAATATTGATTTCAGAAAGATGCAACCTCAAAGTTGCAGGCACTGATGCTAAGTGCATCGTCTCATTCAATCCTCACAACTACCTAGCCATTATTATCCCCAGTTTGCAATGAGGAACCTGGGGCTGGAAGGGTTGGAGTCCACTACCAAGAGTATGTTCCAGGACCAGCAACAACTGCTTTACCCGGCAGCCTGTAAGAAATGCATAGACAGGCTCTTCCCCAGAACTAATCAGTCAGCATCAGCCTTTCAACAAGATCTCTAGGTGAGTCTTATGTGAGGGTAGCACTAGTGTAAGTTGTCCAGGCCATGCATTTAGATACTGGCTTAGTCAATGTTAGTATAAAGCAGGCTTGAAAATGTATATCCTAGGAAGTAAATGATACTATTTCATACTTTGAAATAAGAGAGCTAAGAGAGGTAAGACTATGAAAATGGGCACCACACTGATCACATATAAGTCAATCTGGATTGGGGGAGGGTGATTATGGTTGCAGACCCTATGGGGATGAGCAGGAGAGGAATCCTTCCATAGACACGTGCCCTCTGCCCAGATGCCAAGGAACAAGCACCCCAGTGCCCACACCTCAAAGTGTTAACTCCCCTCCACCCACAGGAAGTTCCTGTGCTGAGACTGGGTCCTGTTCCTACAACGGAACAGCACCGCTGGGGGTTGAACACATTTCTTGCTATAGTCCTACAAACTCTCATAAAGGCACCTGCTCCTCCCATTTATACCTAGGAAACCCCACAGGTATCTTAGACATGCTCACAGCTAAGTTCCACCAGTTGCCACTTGGTACGCTCAGTTTTGTGTTTTCTCTCCCAATTTTTCTATTCCCAAACCCCTTCACAAGGTCCACACAGATCCTGCTCTTCAGCCAGCCACAGCTGTGGCTTCCCTTGAAACCTTCTCTTTTCACCAGGTGGCAGACAGCACAGTGTTTCTGGAAGTCCTAAAGGTAGGTGGTATCTTGTGCAGCCTGCTAAAAGGAGGACACTGTCTCTTGGGGTCGCCCCCCACATGGCTGGGGAGCTCGTACAGAAGTCCACACCATGTGACCACATGACAGCCCCCCCAGCCCCCACCTATGACTTCCTGCCGGACCAGCCTCCTCCGTTCTCTCTGCCTGTCCAACACTGCTTACGTCACTGGATCTGCAGGCTTTGGACAGCACCTGGTGCATCACAGATGCTCAGTAAACACTCATACTTTTGAATAGATGACTGATTCTCCGTAGTGCCTCATGTTAACCTGGAAGGTCTGGCCACCAAGTCACAGAGATGCTCAGACATGTCTGAGCCACCTCAGTGGAGACAGCATAAGCTCTCAAAGGGACTTCCTTCCATTAACAAGGAGGATGGATTCTACAAGACTGATATTATTAAAAATTAGGAAGTAGCATGGCCATCCTTTCTCTCTCTGCATACCTGTGTGAGATGCAGACTTCCTGCCTCTCTCCCCAGCAGGCTTGTCCCCTGGAGCCCCTGGGAGGCTGCCTACCCTCCTGAGACACTGTACTCACCGATTCTGAAGCTGTATGAAGGTCAGGCCCGGTCTGGCTGCCCCGGCTCTAGGTGATGGTCAGAGGGGGCTTCTCAGGGCTGCCCCAGCCACCTCCTTTGCTGTAGGTACAACTGAGCCAGCACCGAGGAGATGGGGCTTCTCCCACTAACAGTCCACGTGGCCCAAGAGAGCTCTAATCTCAGGGCATGTGTGAATCAGGACCCCAGGGAATTGTTGTATGTTTGGGTTCCTTTCATTTTACTGGGGGAAAGGGCTGTGTAACCAGAGACTAAACTAAGTGCTGTAAAGTTAATTATTGCATTTAATTGAATCCTTACAGCCCCTTTGTGAGATAAAACATTTTTTAGATGAGAAACCAAGGCTCAGGCAAGTCAATGAGTTAAGGTAACTAAACAGTAACACGGTAAATGGTAGGCTGGCTTAAAACTCACATCTGGGGGCCTGCACACATGGTCCGAGCCTTCTGACAAGTGGAGACATGGGCATCTTTGTGAGTGTGCACTTGCCCTCAGCCAAGACAGAATCAGTGACTCTGAGTTTAATGACGGAAATGACGTAGGTGGTGGTATTAGGTTTACACCTCATCACACCTATAGAGGCTTTTAAACAAGCTCATTTACACATCCGTGTAGAGCAACTGCTGCTGGAATACCCACTGGGTCTCTGCTGCGGGCGGCCATCCGAGCTGGTGCTGAACTGTCCCTGCATAACCATCAGCAAGGGACCCAGAACAGCAGCGGGGGCCCTGTGGACGGTGCTGACAGAGGCAGATGCAGGGCCACCGTCAGCCAGAGCCACCGTGACTGCGACTCAGCGACGAGTCTGTCGCCAGGAACAGCTGCCTCCCTGGAGGCCGTGTGGGAGCCGCTCCTGGGCACCGTCCTGGGAGGCAGTCCAAGGCCACCTTTGGGAACTCAGATGGCATGTAGCCTGGGGAGACCTGCCTCCCCTCGCCGTTCCCTGTGTGAGTCACATTTATGAGGTTAGGGTTTGTTTTTGTTGATCCTTCAGAGAACTCACTGAGAGTGAGTAACACATTCCCCAGTGAAAACCTGGCAGGACTGGGGGCAGCGACACTGAGGCTTGGGGAGCCTCTGCGGAGAGCTTCAGGCCCCAGTGCTCTCGGGGGGAGGTGCCCAGGGATGGCAGCCGGGAGTTGTCACCTGTCATGCTCTTTAGGGTGTGCGGCCGGCCACTGCTCACAGAGAGTCAAACTCCGGGGGTCCCCATCATCCCCGGGCAATGATTTTTTCCCTTTAAAGCTGGTCTTATACTTCTGACACCTCCATCTATTTTTGGGGTGTGTAACCTAATTCCCTCCTGAAACTTCTGAGGGTTCTCATCTTGCTCTTTCTTTTCAAACACTTTCTGGGAGCTCTATTTACACGAGCTTGCTGAAGGGCCCTCAGACCCCTGTCCGTCAGCTGCAGGGCCCTCCAGGGCCGGCCATGCTTTCATCGTCCCAGTCCCGCCTGGGTCACCTCTTGTAGAGGCCTGAATGTTCCCTTGAGGTCCCCCCACCCAAACATTTCACTCTTCACTCGCCCACCAAAAACACCCTCAGCAATGCTTACATATAATAAGCGACCTTTTTCTAAGGCTTGAGGAATTCTTTCGGAAACACTGAAGTCATTTGTGGAGGCTTCTGTAAGCTCTGTCATGTTGTGCTGCTAAGTTTCCAGGTAGTTACCGCAATGCACGGAGGCTCAGAGCAGCCTCGAACTGCCTTCTCCGCACAGACAGTCCCGTGGCGCTGGGCAGAGTTCCCCAGGGTGGGAGGTCAGGGCCCATCCATTTCTCAATGAAATGCGCCTCAAAGTATGGGCTGTCCCCACAGGCGTGGTGGGGAGGCTGATCGACATAATATACCGATGCGTTCACGGATATTAGAAAGTACAGCACAATGCCTGGCCTCCCATCCCCATCACGTGTCTTTGATGCTAAATATGGTTTCAATTCCTTTCCGTCAGCATTTGGATTCCCAGATACTTCGACTCTTCTATGATCAGGCAGCTCTCTGGAGATGATTCTTATGAATTTGATAAGTGTTTACAGAGATTTTTCCTTGTCTAGGATGATTATTTTTCCTGACAAATTGCATTTGATAAGTTTACTAGTACCCAGAGCAGTCAAGGGTCTGAAGTTTTCTTTTTGTAATTTGTTTTCCCTTTTCTTATACACAAAGATGGCTGGAAATAGGTACTGAATTCTCATTACCTATTCCGCCCCATATATTCTCCTATGAAGATGCTGCAAGAAATGTAATTACATTTTTTCCAGTAAAATGATTACAGTAATTGTTTATAACTAAAAATGTTTTCTCATTACTTTGACAAAATGTTGTAAATGTTATTTGTCTTGTTCAGATTCACTTTTTTGATCGAGAGTAAAAAGTCTGTATATTCATGCTTAGTGTTGGAATATTTTATTGCAGACATTATAAACCAGACATATTTTAACTATTCTTTTTTTAACTCACTTTAAATTTTAAAATAGAAAAGATGTTCTAAACTTAACCAGAAACTGAATATATGCCTCCAAAGCACATCTGAGAATGTTGAAAAGATCCAAAGACCCAAGAAGAGGTCTTTCTTAATTATTTTAATCATTTAGTCATTTGGTCATAGCA